CCAAAATCTAGGTTTCCCAAGTTGAGGTGTATTTGATGGAGTGGGGAGGAGAAGGCATGAATAGGGAAACTACATCAAAGGGATACTTCCTGAGGGGACTAGACCTCTGAGTTTTGAGGTAGACTAGAGCTTCATGAAAAGGCAAAAGATCTGTAGACTGTTATCTCTTGCCTCTGCATATTGAAGTAATAGGTTTGTTATTTTCTTAAAGAATTAAGACTACAATTGCAATTTTGATGTCCTGTCACATTTATTTAAATCAATAGTCTATCACTAGTTTAGAATATATTTGGATCTAGAGCTAATCAGACATGGAGATAAACGGAGTCAAGTGGAGGGGTGAAGAACAGTTTGAGGTAGCAGCTCAAATGTAATTTTAAAAATCATTCATAAAAATACCTATTCCATAGAAGGCACTCTATTAAGTACTGGTGATACAAAGAAAACAATAGGGTTCTTGCCTGTGGGGAGATTTTATACAAATAACCATAATTAAGCTAAAATATGATAAACACACAGGAGAGGTCAAACAGGAATAGGGAAGGTCAAACAGACAAGATGATGATGATGATGATGACAGTTAACATTTATATAGCACTTACTGTGTGCCAGACACTGTGCTAAGCACTTTACAAATATGATCTCATTTGACCCTCACAACAACCCTGGGAGGTAAGTGCTATTATTATCCCCATTTTACCTATAAGGAAACTGAGGCAAACTAAGGTTAAATGACTTGCCCAAGGAGGTCACATATGAATTCAGGTCTTCCTGATTCCAGGACCATCAGTCTATCCATTTTGCCATCCACTAACCAAGTTAGGTACATCAACAGTTCTATACTTTTAAAATTTCAACTTGGTGTACGGAATTTAAACTAAAGCTCTAGGCCAGGGATTCTTAACTTGGGGTCTAGAAGCTTTTAAAATACATATTTCGACAAGGGTATTTCAATATAACTGGTTTCCCTTGTAATCTTTTTTTGGGAAGAAGCCTAGTCTTCACCATATTGCCAAAGGGGTCTAGGACGCACAAAAAGTGAGAATCCCTGCTCCAAGGTTACAATGTTTAAGAAATAGCACAAATTCTGGTTCAAGATGTTATACAGTATTTCAAATAGTAATTGCTATAAATCATTCAAGCCTGCAGAGGTTAGAGGCATGCTGGTGCACTGTATGGTGGCTAGCCTTGCAATCAGGCAGACTTTGGTTCAAGGCTTGCCTTCTGACATATATTAGGTATGTGCTCACGGGCAGATAACTTAGCTTTTCAGTGGCCCCAATCAATTTGTTTAAATTCTAAGTGGAAGACAAATTGCCCATCTGTATGTATTTGTAAGAAGGAGTTTCCAAACCAGGAATGCTGTATGAGGAGGAACTCAAAGGCATGAGAGCCCCACCCTGTTCCCCCTACCCTCCAAAGAGCACCTTAGCCTTGAGAGAAAGATTTAGCAGGTAGCCTGGTTTGGTAGAAACAACATGGGCCTTTGAAGTCAGAAGACATGTACAATCCTAGCTCTCACATATATTTGCTGTCTGACTCTGGGCAAGTTACAGCCTCCCTGGGCCTCAGTTTCCTTATCTGACAGATAGGGATGATATATCATCTCTTTTGTTAGAAACTGAGAGGAAAATGTTTGTAAAAATTAAATTATTATAGAAATATTATTAGCTGCTCAGGCCAGAAAACTGAGCTTGATATGTGGTTTGATATCCTCTTGAAGTATAAAATCCTAATTTTTCAGCAGCTGATAATCCCTCTTTTCTTAAGGGTCTTATATTTTCTCCAATCCTTAGTACTAGCACTAGAGGCGAAAGGTAGGAAAAGGCTAAAAATCAAACCAGTCTATTTATCAACACTTTAGTAAAGAAAAAAAAGTTTAGTAGAAAAGGAAGTGGTTGACACTATAGTTTTTGGTTATCTATGGTTTTTAATCATTCATATCATGCTACTCACAACTGACAGGGGTGGGGAACCTTCAGCCTAGAGGCCACACTTGGCCTTCTAGGTCCCTTAATGTGGCCTTTTGACTGAGTCCAAGATTTACAGAACAAATCTTTTTAGCAAGGGGATTTGTTCTGTGAAGTTTGGATTCAATCAAAGGGCCATACTTGAGGACCTAGAGGTACACATGTGGCCTTCCGGTTGCAGTTTCCCCACCCCTAAGGGTCTCACATAAATGCTGGTCAATGCATAACACACAGATATATTTAGTTTAAGACAATTCTATAGCTCTGCCTCTGCTTTTAACAATATCAGTTTCCACATGCATAGTGCTTTAGAATGACCAAAGGTACAATCTTAAGGTAAACATTTAACGACAAAATATTTTATAATCATGAATTCTAGATTAAAAACTTGGAAAGAGCTTAATATGTACCACAAAGCAGCTAGGCAGTTAGTTTATCTAGAGCTGGAAAAGAATTCAGAGGCCATTTATAGTCCAAACCTTCCATTTTATGAAGAAACTGAGGGCCAAGGAAGGTAAATGATTTGCCCAAGGTCACCCAGGTAGTAATTACCAGAGGCATTATTTGAACCTATTTCCTATGAATTCAGTCATTATTTGCTCTACCATTGCTCTCTGCCTCCCAGAAGATCTCTCCAACACTTCTAAGTTTTCTGTGCTGCTGCTGCTGCTGGAATTCATGTAGTCTAATTCCTTCATTTTACAGATGGGGAAAGTGAGGCTCAAGAAATTAAGTGACTTGCTTACCTTCACAGAGGTGATAAGAGCCAAAGCCTGGATTTGAATCCATGTTCTCCAATTGCAAATCTCCTCCTATGGCCCCACATTGTCTCCCATATAGGTACTCCATGACACCAAGAGAATCATAGGACTAGAGCTTTAGGGCTAGAAGGGACTTTAAAGGTTAGAGTCCAATCCTCTGCATTTTACAGAAGAGCAAACTGAGGCATTTTAACTGTGCTTAATCATGCATTTTCACTGACTGTCCCCTATGATTGGAATTCTTTCCCTCCTCACCTATGCCTCTTGGCTTTCCTGGCTTCTTTCTTCAAGGCTCAGTTAAAATTCCACCTTCTGCAAGAAGCCTTTTCTGGTCCCTTTAATGCTGGTGTCTTCCTTCTGAGATTATTTTCATTTTATCCTGTATATAGCCATTTGTACATAGTCAGTTGAAAACTGTCTCCTCCATTAGATTGTGGGTTCCTCGAGAGGCTGGGTTTTATTGTGGGGGGGGCAGGCAGGGAAGGAATTCTGTGTATTTGTTGTTATTTTTGGTATGCCCAGTACTTAACATAGTGATGGCAATAGTGGGTGTTTAATAAATGCTTATTGACTTGTTGACCTGACTAAGGCCTAAAGTGGTGGTGGCAGCTCCTCCAGAGATTCTTTTAATATTGGCACAGATTATCAGTCTTCAGTGGCTTAGGTCATGCTTCCAAAAGGGGTCAGTAAGAATCGATCAGTGGATCTTGAAGGCTTACTCAGTAGAAATCCCAGATAGCAGCTACCAGCTAAATTACTGTACGAATTTCCCCTCACCTGTACCCAAATAACACCAACAGGAGATTAAAAAGAAACCTTTCTAAGGAAGAAGGTTAGAGAAGTAGAGGAAAGTCCTACTTTTAGTCCTGCCTAGGTTAGGCGGCAATTCAACAAGCATTTATTAAGGTCCTACTAGGTGCTATTATACAGGCAATTTACATAATAACTGGGCACTGGCAATATAAAACACATATCCCTTGAGAGCAGGACTGTTTCATTTTTGTCTTTGTATGCCCATTGCCTAGCCCATAGCAGGCACTTAATATATACTTACTGACTGAATATGTCAGAATACATACTTTTTTCTACCCCATATATGCTATGCCCAAATATTCATAAAAAGGTATTGCCCCAAGAGCTATCCCTGGCCTTTTTCTGGACCCCAAACACCACAGGGCTTTTACTTTGAAGTGTCCTTGCACCTGTACTGTGTGGTGGGAGAGAGGAAGCACTGGATGGAGACTGAAATAAGTGACTGCTTCTGCTTTGGAGAATCTGGATCAGTTAGCAGCTTAGTACTTAGTACTGTTATATCCAGAAAATAATAAACTTAACCAAACTCATTTCCTTGAAAAATATACAAAAGAGGGCTTCTCCTAATGCAATTTAACCAGTAATATTTTCCAGTTTTTTTCTCTAAGTTTCAGACCTTCAGGATATATATATGTGTGTGTGTGTGTGCGTATATATATATATATACACATATATACATATATATAGAGCCTCATCACCTTTCCCCAATAAATACCATCTATTCCTTTCATCAAAACTATAACAATAAAACAAATAAGTGTGTGTATATGTTTATAGAGACAATCTCCAATTATCTATGGCAGTATTTCGTATCTGCTTTGTTCCCCACCCTCCAAAACTTCTAAGTTCTTTTAAGAATCCTGGGTCCCACAGCTTTAGATATTCCAAGAATATAATCATCAGCCCGGATGAAATGTAACTAGGTAAGTAAGACTGCTACAAAACCATTATACGATGTATTCTAAAGCCTAATAATGATGTTTTCTTTCATTATTGCAAAAGGGGGCTCCTCTCATTGATGTCGACAGGAGAACAGCATAGCCCCAAATTCATGTGTTCACAAGAAAACTCATTCACTCACAAAGGATCTGGCAGCAGGTGGTTGCAACTCAGATATTTTAACCTGCAAGATGTTTGGCTAGCCAAGCCTCACAGGAGAGCCTTCCTTCCAAAAATAATGCTTCTGTTTAAAAAGTGCCTCAACCCAAGAGCAATCAACACTAATTTTGCTCTGTGAAAACAAAGAGAAAGACTTACAAATATAAGGATTCTGTACTGCTTTTTTAAAAAAATCCTATTTCCTTTTAGTTTAAGGGAAATATTCATAACCTTAATCTCCTCAAAAGAAAAATGAAGGGAGGGGGGAGGGAGGACTCTAGGACTTCCACTAAACGCTGACAACCAGCGGAGGCGCTGTAATAACCTACTAGAAACAGAAAGAACGCGACCTACCTTCCCGGAGAGCCCAGCCCAGGAAGGCGTTTTCCCAACTCATCAATAATTCGTTCCCTCCCGTAGGAAGCGGCTGCTGCTGCTGTTGCTGCGGGCATCAGAGATCAAAAGTCTTGTGCATTTAACGCCCCTCCCCCCCAAAAAAGAAAGAAAAAGATCGCGTTTGCCCCATCTTTGGCCTGTTCTAGTGAAATAATAATGTCAGGCTAAAAAGAAAAAGGCAAATATCGACGTAAAAGTTAACTCCAAGGTTCAGGGTAAGAAAAATATAGGAGGGCAAAATATTTGGGTAGCGGGAGGAAGAGGAGAACTCGATTCGGTGTGGTCGTTTACACTGAGAATTCCATCCTTTCAATGTTACTACTCCAAAGAACATATACAAAAACAACGTTCCATTTAAAGATACCGGGCGACTCCAAGGGAGCGGGAGGCGTCCCTGCAGAGAAACCACGAAGTAAGGGTTCCTCCTTCACCCTTTCCGGCCCCTACACCGCCCCCAAAAAAGATCAGGCAGAGGCGGGCAAGCTCTTCACCGGTCACTTTACTACCAGCCAGTTCGTTTGGAAACTAGTCGTGTGGGGCGGTTTCGGAGATGGCGCAAGACTTATCATTTTACCTTTATTTTCTCCCCTCCCCAGTGACAACAGCCACAGTGACAAAATGGCAGCTCTCTGCGCTGGCAGTCATGTTACACACACACGCAGAGAGCAGTGAAAGCGCCCCTAGAGCCTTCGCTGCAATTCCGGAGCAACCTTCTCCCACCTCCCCGCGATAACGATAAAGTACACCTCTCTTCTTAACCTCCAAGCGGGGGAGGAGAGGGGTGCTAGCCGTTTGAACACCTCGGGCTCAAAAACTGCCCCGGAGAAATAATACTGAGTATTTTAAAGGCTCAGATTCACGGCTATCAAATATCTCACTCAGCCACCCACCACCCTAAAACACATACGCACACCCTTGTCCCACATCTCCCTCCCCGAATATCGCACAAATCCTCATGGAGACAGTCGCCTTCATTTCAAACCCAGCGTTTTTCTTTTGCAGCTCGATGGGGGAGGGGGGGGCGGGACGGGAGAAACCCAGGAAAAAATGGCTGCTCGTCCTATTTCAGCTTCAACGCGGTGTTGCCAGCCTCCGGGACAAAGTTGAGAAAGGATTTGGAGGTGTGTACAGGGGGACTAGGAAAAGGGGAGGTTTGGGGGGGGCGCTGGGGCGCTCTCTCGAATCCTTTCGGAAAGAAAACAAAAATACACGCACCCACTTCTCTCCTCTCCTTCCCAACCCCCTTTGTCTCTTATTACCCTGTTTTCTTACCAAACAACAAGCAAACTACCCCCCTCCTCCCCGACTAATGCCCAACCACTCCCCATTGGAGTGAAGCAGGGATCTGGGGGAAAAAGAATATGAAGGGTAGGGGGTGGGGGGAGGGAGGACGCGTGTGAAATATCGTTTAGTATGCGCGTCGTATTCCCCTCCCCCCTCAACATAAGACACGAAGACTTTGTGAAGTTTAAAGAGCGGGTTCGATTCGCTCCCCAATCTCTCTTCCATTCGGTTAAGAATGTTTTTAGAACCCACTACCTGATCCTCATCATCGCCCAACGCTAGCCTCAGCCCCTCCCCCCCCATGGGGAACACAGCTCTAGGTTTTATGTATGGCTGGGTGGGGGTCGTTAAAGTAGGCGGCCAGACCAGTCTCCGTGCAGACTACACGCGGCACCCCCCACACACACCTCATCCCCTAAACCTTAGAGCAGTTATCCAAAGATGTAATATAAAAACATTATCAATATATTTGTAGTAATTCTCCCTTTCGATAAACATCCCTCTCATCTAATAAAAGCATAAAACACGCAAATAGAGTGTACACAACTGCGTTATGACAATGTGGGCACAAAACAAATCTTGGTTTCAAAAGTCAAATCGAGGTTTAGGGGAGAAATTATGGGAGGAGAAGTGGAGGAAGGGAGGAGAGGAGGGAGGAAATGGGTGGAAAGGTTCCATCTTCCCCAAGGATTAGTCTTTACTGGGGCGGGCGGAGGGGGGGTGGTGGTGGTGTTTGGGGTCCGGTTATAACGCTCTCAAAGTTGCCTACGCGCCCAGTCTACGAAACCCATCGTCTCCCGGGTTTCAGCGATAACCTCGTCTCTTCCCGCCCTGCGCCCCTTCGAATTGGGAAATTGGGCGAGACTACCACAACCCCGATCCTTTTATATTTAAAGTATAAACAACCTCAATCTTTTTGAGAGAGGGAATATAAACTAAGTCGAGAGATACTGCAAGAATTATCTTGCTAATTAGTGCCAACACTTCACCTTCCCCTTTTCTTGGGTGTGTTTTGCAAGATGCTCTCTCGTTTCCCATCCATTTAAGTTTCTTCCGTCAGTGCTACCGCCACTGCCCAATCAATAAAAGCTAAGGAAGGTAAGCTCCGATCCTAGAGATACAGGTTTTCTGGTGCTCGCATAAATCTGGACACAGCCAATACCCACCACCGCCACCAGCCATGGACTGCTTGCGTCCTGACAAACTTTCTTGTTCTCGTTTATTCAGCCAGGCGCCCAACAGCTGCCTAAGTGCTAACCGCGGAGGAAAAAAAAGAAACCGGGGTGGAATGCTTGTTTTAGGGGGTAAAAAGTCCTTCACCTTCGTGGGGGTCAGGGTTTGCAGAGGACTGGAGTGAGAAGGGGGACATACTGCCTTTTACTAACTTGAAATCGCTTTCAAGGTGGGGGGAGGCGCGGTGATTTCAAAACGTCTTCTCCCTTTAAAAAAATCCCCTTTTAATTTTTTTTGGGGGGGTGAAGGAGAAGAAGAATCCTCACCATCTGGAGGGAAGGTGAGATAGAGTAAGGGAGAAAGAAGAGAAAGAGGAAGGGAGACAGAGAAAGGGAGGGAGGGAGGGGGAGAGAGAGAAAGGGCGCGTTCACGAACACTACAAAGTTACAAATATGGCTCCCCCGTCTCTCGCCTGATCACTGCAAAGAAACGAAGACGCACTTTAAACTCGAACCATTCCCAACTCCACTGCATCCTCTCTCCCCACACTCTTTTCCCTGGGTGGGGGTACTTAGCCCAAATATATCGGGAACTAAACCCGACTCAAGAAGCACAAAACTTATTGTGTGCTGTGTGCATGGGAAGGGAGGGGGTACGGGGTGGGGGGGATTTTCTCTTCCTTCCTTCCTTCCTTTCTTTCTTTCTTTCCTTCTTTTTTTCTGGGGGGGGTAAATTCAGGAAGCAGCCCCTTCTTCCTCCCCCCACCCCTCCTCCTTCATTTATCTTTCATCCAGACACCGACTCATTGGAGCAGCGGGCTCGTAATGTGTTATTTTTTCCCTCATTCTCTCAGACCATAACGCGTGCGCCTTCTGGCCCCCCAATGGGGTGTGCACATACACACACACACACACACACACACAGAGACACACACACATACACACACACACATATACACACACATACACAGGTAGTCACACACCAAGGGCAGCGGCGGCAGCGGCAATAGCAGCCGGAACATGCATGGCCATTGCAACCCCCACAACCTTGCAATTCATTTGCAGACAGGCTTCCCAGCCTACCCCACCCCCCGCGCCAAAAAATAAAAATAAAAAATACACCACCACTACCCCCCAAAAAAAGTGGAAATACATATATCTATTTTTGGCAAATGCTCACATCGGAGGGCGTCCTGTTCCGCAGCTCTAAATGAATCCGTTTCTCCATTTCCATCTCTCGCTCCCTCTTTGCAGAAGTCTCCCGCTTGGGCGGTATTCAATCAATAAACCCCGAACCCACGGCAGCGCGTTTTAGGACTTTGAAGGCTCAACCAGCTCCGCTCGGTTCTCGAGCCCCCAGCACCCGCGGCGCACACTAACCTGATCGCCGCGGAGGCGGGCTCTTCGGGCCCCCTCGGCGGAGCGACGGCAGCCCTGACCAATCGTTACGCAGGGCCTCCCGGCGGCGGCCAATGAAGACGCCGGCGGCGGAAGCCAAGACCAATAGGCGAGCGGCGGAGCGGACGGGGGGGCACTGCTCTCGGGTTGTGGTGCTGGAGACGGACCCCTTAGATTTCGGGGCGGCTGGAAAGAGCTGCGGCCGTTCGGCGGCAAAGTAGGGGGAAAAAAAAGGTGACGGTGCCTCGAGGTGCCGAACCGCCATGACTAGCCGCCGCCGCCTCGGCGTTATTCCCGGGGGCGGGGCCGCAGGTGCGTTATGTCGGGGGGCGGGCGGGCGGCTTCCGCGTTATGTCGGGGGAAGAGGTGGGGACGGATAACGGGGTGGGGGGCCCACCATCGCGGGCTCTGGGACAAGGCCCGGAGGAGGGCTTGGCGCGGAGCCGGGGTCGGGCCCTCTAGTCCGCGCGGTCGTCGCGGGGCGGGGCAAGGCGGATGAGCATCCTCCGGGGCTACCCCCCCTTCTCCCTCCCCACTCCGCAGCCGCGCCGCGCGTGGGAAGAAGGGTGGGCGAGCCTCAAAAGGATCCGGAGTGGCGAGGGAGGACCGGGTATTAGGGGAGGGGAAGGATGTGTTTGTGGTTTGTCCCACCGTCCATCCCTCCGTTCTCCCTCCCCCCGCTTCCTGCCCAGCCCCCCCCCGGAATTCCACTGCCCACCGCCTCCCCCCAACGTCCCAGCCCCATCCTGGGGCTCAGCCATGCCCCGAACTCGTCCCCCAGTTGCCACAGCCAGGTATAGTTCACTCTTTCCCCTCCCACCCTTCCAAATAAATAACAATTACCCTGTTGCTCCGGGGTGTTCCAGGGGTGCTAGATAAACTTCTGGAGTTGTTATCAATACTCTCTCCACGGTATTTCTAAGGCTGTCAAAGAAATTATCAGCCTCGGTGGGGAGAACTCCAGGAGATGCTTCCCCTTTCCTTCCCTTCTTCCCTCCCCCACAATAAATACATGGGTGGATAAAGGAATGAGACCTGTGGATGAAATAAATAATGCCACTCTTTGTTTTTTTCCCCAAAGGAAGAAGGAAAATAGAGTGATAGGAGGTGATTTTAATAAGCTTTCTTTAGTTGCCCCCAGCCTTAGATACCCTCTGGCCTTTTAGCATGAGGGAGAGTGAAAAATATTACAAACGTATTTGCAAGACTTGGTTCAAACTTTATCTTGATTTTTATCAGTTGACTTCTTATTCGATTAAATTTAGATTACAGGAGAGCTTTCTTCAAAGTTTATATATTAATTTTATGGGGGAGACCTTGGAGACCTTAATTTTTACAAACATCCTGAATACTCCATTACTTTCCTTAACTGTTCACCAGTGGAAGTGAGTAAAAGTTGTCAGTTCAGCAGGATTATATGGGATATTCTTGTTCTTTCTTTTGGTTAAAGTTTAGAGGCATAGTATTTTTTGAGTGGGGAATGGGCCTTAGAGATGATCTTTTCCAGCCCCCTGATTTTGCAGTGAGAAAACTGGTCCAGAGAGGTGGCAACTTGCTGAAGGTCAGGCAGCAAATTAGTGGTAGAGCCTGAGACTAACCTGACTTTCCAGTCATCGGATTGTAGACTTTCAAGCTAGCTGGGACCTTCAAGATCATTTAGGCCAACCCTATCATTTTACAAATAAGGAAACTGAGGCCTAGAGAGGTTAAGTGATTTGCCCAAGTCCAGGGCCCTTTGTACTGGACCATACTTTGTGTAATGTACCCATTTCCTCATCACCGAAAACATCAAAGACAGCTTTTCTGCCAGATCTAAAGATGTTGTATGTGTTTTAGTGGGGAGGGTTGGTAGGGAGCGGACTTGCTGTATGTACAATAAATGTGAAATATTGTTTCATAATTTTCCAATACAGTTTCATTTTTTTACATGTAAAATATTCTTTCCTTCAGTGAAAGAGGGAATCAAAAGGGACAGGAAATAAACAGTGCACATTTATATAAACAAATAGAATATATACACTGGGGAGAGAACTCTAGTTACCATAAGATATTAAGCTGATGGATTACAGATTTAGGCCTCTCACTAGAAAATGGCACAGGACATTCTTAACAGAAACATATTTAGTTAGTTCTCATTTTCTGATGAAATACCAAGTAATAAACAAAACGTAAAAGGGTGAAATAATATTTAAATTTTGACTAGCAAGGAAATACAGAATAAAGAGCATAAGTAAGATGTTACCTTTCCAACTGTCAGAGCAGGTTAGCGTAACTTTTTTTTCTGTCATTGGGTAGTATGTGTTCATGGGAAAGACGCTTATCTTTATAAACTGACTTCAGCCTTGTTAACCTTTGCACCAAATATTTATATGATCAAATTATTCACATCAGTATTTTTTTGATGTGAGTATTCTTTCTATAACTACATAGTTTTTGGGAATTGCTGTGGTTGAAAAATCATCATCCTTCAGCTAACCTTCTGATGATGAGCTTCTTTGAACCTAGCTGGAAGGTAAGTCCTTGTCCTTGCAAGATGGGCAAACATGTCCAGCCTTAGGCCTTTGCACCTTATTGGGATCTTCTAGCCCTCTTGCTGTGGTCTTTGAGAACTCGAATCACCACTAATCCCTTCACTTTAATAAGGAAACCAAAAATTATCTGTTTTTTCTCTTAATGTGCTGTGGGGTTTTGTGTATGTGTGTTTTATAGAAAAAATAAGGCCTTGAAAAAGCAAATTACCTAGTTTGCCCATGACTCAGTTGCTACTTAAGGATATAGTGCTTAAGAATGTATCAAAACAAACCTCAGAAAAACTTAGCCAAGAACACTTTGATTCCATATAATATATGGTAACTGTGTAACGTAGCAGCACAGAAGTTACATGTTTTTTAAAAAAGGATCTTTTGCTGCATATCCCAGGGGTTGATTAATGATTTTAAGATACAGAAATAATTAAACAATTTAAAATCGTTTCAGCAGAAACAAAACCTTAGCAGATATTCATATTCATTGTGTATATATTATCACACTGAGTAGAGTTAGTGATATAAATACATAACTGTTTTGATGATAAATTCACATCTCCAAGTAACTAAATTTATTTCTGAGCTGAGGAATATAATGTAACCTGTATTGCAGAAGAGGGAAAGTGTTCTTTTGCCACCAGAATAGCCGCTATTACCTGGCCAATCAGGTTTTGAAACTATAGATGAGCCTCAGTCAGTTCCTCCAAGCAGAGAGCAATTGAATGTTTTATGTAAGTTCTAGGAATAGTATGATAAAATAGTCACCTACTATACAGAGTATATGTGAAATCAAACTGAAAATATGAAAATAATCTTTACTTGGGACAGTCAAATAGGAGAGCTGGAGAATAGGGTTGATGAAAAGACCAGGTCTTAAATGAAATTCAGTTCTGTTTTGTAGAAGCATATTTGTTTTATCCATTTTGATAGTAGATTTTACATAGGAGCTTAGAAAATCATTCTTTCACTTTTCTACTAGACAAGCATCACACTATATTCATACTTCAGAATAACCACTGAAGTAATCTGAAAAGTAGAATTTATAGTAATATCTCACATTTTACATAGTGCATTATGGTTTTCAAAATGCTTTGCCTATATTAACTCACTGGAATTGCCCAACAACTGTCTGAAGTAGATATTTCAAGTATTATCCATTATCCCCATTTTATAAATGAGAAAACTGAGAATAGTTTGTGACTTAACCAAGATGTCACAGTTAAGTGGCGGAGCCAGACTTAAATCCATCTCCAGACATCAAATTCAATGCTCTTTCTATTATATCACCACTGTCCCATCACCACCAACTGCCCTTTGATCCCAGACCATTCTAGAAGGTATTTGTATTTATCCTGTAAAGATTTTTTTAAAAAAATTTTCTTACTCTGTCTTGGAACTATTGTAATTATTGGAAAGTGCCTCTTATCTAGCTTGAATCTCTTACCTATAATAATAATCACATCTGATATTGCTGTATAGAATTTCACTGGTTGCAAAGCATTTTCCTCCCAACCACTCTGTACAGTAGGTAGTGCAAATATTACTATCCCCTTTTTGCAGATGAAGAAATTGATTTAGGTGGAATGACTTACAAGAAATTAAATCAGTCCAGTGCAACATATGGCCTGCGGGCTGCTTGTAGGCCACCAAAGGATTTTGGGCAGCCCTCAAAAAAAATGTAGGGTTGCCCCTGTGCACTCTCCTGTTTATCACATGACCCACAGCAACCAACCATCATTAGTCTGTCTCTAGTCTAACCTATCTGTGGCCTGAAGAAGTTTAGGCTATTTTAATATTGGCCCCTACCTACTGCCAAGTTGTGTAGGTCTGAATTAAACAGTAAATGGCCAGAGCAATTTTGACCTGGCCTCAGTTTTCTTATCTGTAAAATAAGGGCATTGGATTAGATCATTTTAGAGGATCCTTTCCGTCATCCTATGATCCTTTGACCGCCTCATTTGCTCTTTTGGGCATAAGTGAAGATGGAAAAAGTTAGCATCCTCTTTATGAGTACTCATAATGCTTAGGAGACTGAGCTTAATTTTTCTTCAGACTGAATGATGTACGCACTAAAACCTGTCCACTGCGTTGGAAACTCCTATATGATACAGTTCTGGTGCCTGGAATTCAAAGACAGTTGTTATAGCAAAGTATCAGTGTGATTATTTTACTTTTAGTATGTATTTTAAATAGCTTTTAGGAGTATAGATTATTCCTTTAAAGTCTAATGTTAACCAACACATTAAATTAAAGTGAGATTTGAATGAAAAAGATGTTGACATTATATCTAAAATGTTTACTTTTAAAAATTGCCTTTTGCTTAAAAAAGGATTTGATTGTGCTTTTCCAAAGATCAGAGTTTACTACCTGTCAAATTTATGTATTTACTTAATATGTATTTAAATATATTTATTTAAAAGACAAGTAAGGGAAGAGAGATATTTT